ATTTTGATATTTTTTTATTTTGCAATATTGATCTATCTTTTAGGTCTCTCTGCAAGCCTTTTCGTAACAAAATTGGGGCACTATAGAGGGAAAATCTATACCAAGAGAATTCGTACAGTACCTAGTAGACTTAATATGATTGGTTAGCCTAACGTCTTGAAGATACTTCGGAAATGCTTAACCGTGGTGACCCTAGTTGATTCTATTGTAAGTGCTAAATATACAAGTAAGTGTACGTATGTCGCGCGGATTCCCATCGGCCCAGATTATGCGATTGGGCCAGGTCAAATTAGGCCGATGTTAGCGAACTATGAATGATTCTACAGCTCAGGGATGTCTAGGGTTCAAGGAACGTCCCCAGCTGTTTCATCACGTGTCACGTGTATAGTTTAGATATTGCATAACGACGAACATACTCTTGTAGAGTAAAACAGCTGATCGGTTTGGTTTAAAGGCGTTAATTCTATATTTATTTTTAATTCAAATCTACTTCAAAAAATATTCATAAAAAAGTTAATCTTCCCATTCGCGTCACTTATAATAAGATTCGGTCGTAAAGACCCATTATGTCCGTTCAATCTTTGTACTGCTAATACCAAATACTGTTCATACTTCTCAATAGATGTGTAAACATCTGCCTGTAACCGCACCGTTTTTGTCTCGATGACTCTTATTCCTTTGTGATAAGGTCGTGTTGAAGATACGCCCGCCTACAATGTTGTCGAACGCCTTTACCCATTGTAAACGTTCGACAGAATTTAAAATTTTGTCATTTGTTTTTTTTTTCGTGTTTTGGCGGGGTGACGTAGAGTTTGAGAGACGGAATTTCTAAAATAACCGAACTAAAATTAAATATTTTTTGATTATTAGGTAAAAAAATATTTTTACCTCAATGCCGTCAACAGTAGTGTTTGTGAATAAACCATACTCTGGAGACTTCGTTAGCATGATGTTCAACAATTTTTATCAAAATTCGTACCTTAATATTATGAAACTTTTTTTATGAAATTACAAAAAAGACGTCATAAAATCTGATTTACATGATAATTTTCCCGCTGAATCTTCTATCTATTCAATAAAATGAAAAAAAAACGATTCCTTCACTTCTGTAAAGTCATCCACTTCAAAAACGCGTAAACACATCGTCTTGATTTAAAAAATGGGGTCACTAAACACCCGCATGCCACGCTTATTAACGTACGATTATTTTATTTTCATATAAAAGATAAATAATAAGGCGCGAACCGAATGCGGGCTCGATTAACTCGATTCTCACCCTTTACTCGATTTGATGAGGCGTAATGGAATGGTCACTGTAACGCCATTGTAAGTCATTTAATCACCAGCCTTTGGTGACAAAGTTTAATAAAAACTTAAACACGAAATCACATTTTATTTTATGGGAGAGCAGGAGAGAAAGTAACCTGTGTAATGGTAATGTCTTTTAGTTATTATTAATTAAATGAAAAAAACATATTTTGTTCTTTCAAAATCATCCTCAAAAATTGTAAACATGACAATCAACGCTGATAAAATTGATTGTCATTTCCAACGATTATGGTTCAGTCATCGGTTTTATATTTATTTTAGTACTTCTATAGTAAGTCTGCATCTACACACAAAGATATCTGACCTAAAAATTTATAAGTTCATTGCTACTGAAAATAATGTGGAAGAAGCAGTAAAAGAAAATTATGAAGGTGCCTATGTAACCACAATATGACGTATACAGAATAAGTTTTCAATGTTTGGATTTCAGACGATAAGCCCATACGTTTGTCGCTAAAAATCGATTAAACGATAAGTTTTTATCGCGTCGTGTCGTGTCATGCCTGCTCATTAGTCCCTCGTCGCATCGGCGCCCGCGCAGCACCAGTAATGATCGCTCATTGCCTCTGATGGAGCATTGATTCAGGGGTCAAATCTGTTGACACCACCATCAATACTATTTAAGCGTTTGTTTCAGACTGATTCACTCCTCTATTTGGGGTATTTCAAATTGATTGATTAACAAATATCGTTAAGTAGGTAGTTACTTTTCTTTTTAATGCACTCCTTGATAAATCTTAATTGTATCTGAAAAGAGCGAAAGGTTGCCAGTGCTAAAACAGATCTAGTAACATTACATACCAAAAATCACAAAACAAAACAATTGATTCTAAAGTTGCAATTTTATTATTTGATCTTTTTAAAAGTAATCGCCACGTAATTATTAACATTTTGCAACGAAAAAGGCTTCTCGTTTATGTATTTCAAATTCAAATTATTTGGAAATACTAATGTACCTACCTACTCGATTGAATGAAAACAACACAGACGTAAAAAAAAAAACAATTTAAAAAATATTTTCTATTGAGTTTTTTCACTGACAAACACAAAAAAGTATTTCCAAATGCGGTCACCTCTAAACTCGTCTATACAATGACAATGATTGCATCGATGTTTGCCCATCTCCCCGGGGTCGTTTCAATTAAAGTATATTACATTGTTACGACGGCAGTCGAGGGTTAATTGCTATTGGGCCGTCTCCGCTGATCTTTGGTCTCGGAGACCAGAGTCGGACACCTTTCGATTGCAGCTGGGTTAAGACCCAATGCCCTGTTTGTGATTCTTTCAGCTAATCTGGGGAATCTGTAAAATGTGACCTGATTTTTAAGAAACCAATAACATTTTGGGCGAATTTTTAGAAAATAAAGAATAACACAGTGGAGTATTTATATTTGAGGACTAGCTTTTAAAGTTTTCTGACAAGCATTATTTTAATCGTTTAGATTCGGTTCATTTTATCTAACAGGCTGACTTATTAAGTTATTTCAGAGTTATAATTTAGTGATGACCTCCATACATTTGTTGACAAAAAAGGTGGCTAATAATACTCTATATACATACTACTTCATACAAACTACTTATAATCATCATAACATCTAAATAGAATCAAATCTCCTTTTGAAACCACTTACTGGTTAAAATCTTGTTAGATTTTTCTTCTTTTTAGACGCAAAACATGTTTTCTTTTTTGTAGCGTTGTCGCCACGCAGTATTAGTATCTACAAATACTTATAGAAAGAATTATTCCTAATCCATCATAATATCTTCATGTATCTGATATCATCCATGCCTCTATGTTCTTCTAAACAAACTCTTGAGTGCGTTCATTAAAAACTGCGTAATACGTATCAATTATGCCAGCAGCTGTCCAGGGCATCGCTCTAACAATTAGTTCAAGTGACCAATTACTGGCTTGCGTCACCTTGCGCCACGAATTAGAACTATTCGCTGAATGAAAATTTAGGTCGACTCTTATTGGTTAGATGACAGAATCACAAGTTGTTAAATTCAGGACATTGAAGATACGCCGCCTCAGCTCTATTGGTTTGATTTCATAAGCAACAGAGTTAATTGTGTTGTGGTTTTGTATGACTTCTAATTTCTATCACTTTTGTGACGGTTTCTGTAAGGTTTTCCTGAGATTTTCTCAACTTAAAAAAGTGCTTTATTTATTTTGATATTTTGAACATTTTCCTATAATGGCGGGTCCCTTTCTTATGGGTTGCCTTAATTAGTCATTTTCATCATTCATACCATAATGTAGTCTATATTGTTTTCTCCAAGTAACAAATCTAGTAAAAAGCAGAAAAAAACCACATAGTGAAATACATAGTTTCAGTTTCAATTCAACTCACTCTACAAACCATCCTTGGCATATCATAGGCGCAGTAATGACTGCTTGAAAAAGCAATTAATATTCACAAAGGCACGCCCACGACAAGTGGGTTAATTTTTAATAACCACTAAATAGCCTCACTGTCAGTTTTCATTCCAAGAACAGTGGTCACGACATTGCTCCACGTGTTTAATTATACAGCGTAATTCTAGCTTTTTAGGAAGCAATTATAAAGTTAATTGAAACGTTCAAAGCTATTCAGGTTATTGTTGACAGTGTTCTTACCAATACTGTTATTAAAACTTTGTTATTCATCTGACAATCTTTTTAAAATCTTATGATAAGACGATGACATTGAAAAAATTGCAATTTTAAGAGTTACACTTACAATATTACCATCCTTATTAATCATTTATCAATTAGCATTACCACGCTGCTATTCGATAAAGTTCGGTATTCCCAAGAGCAAAAGCATCATATTTGGTCAATTAGATAATTGGGATGATTGGCCCCAACCAAGAAATTTCAAACCCACTGTAACTTCTCATTCTCGTGACATCAAATAAAGAGAGGCACAAAAGCCGTGCGGAATTCCACCACGGTCACATCTGCTCGGCATCATAATGACCCTTTTGTTTACCGCGTCATTTCTTCCTTCTGCGCGACCATAAAAAATATTAATGCGCACTACAACATCAGCCAAATGTACCGGGGCCCTAATCGCATTAAGACGGCCTGCGACTCTTCACGGGTTATTATGTTTATACGTTTTTATTCCGGGGGTTGCGGCCGGAAAGGATTACTCTTATCTGGCGTTTACTCGTTTAGCTCATTCTTCTATTGCGCCATTGTGGAAATCTACTTAGATGACGTTTGAATGAGCGTCACGCAAGGAACATTACTCGGCCTCAATTTATATAACATTGACGTTGAGACGATGACAACATTCATGATAATTAAAACTTATAAACAATGTCACAACCGACTATTTAGGACAATTTAGAAGAATGCCCAGCGTAATAACTACAAGTTTTATTGCTGGCATTCCGAAATATTGCGCTATTAGTGTGACGAGTTATCATGTAGGTGTTAATTAACGTTCAGCAAAAGATTTCGACTTTAGTAATACTTTTAACTACATAATGCGCAAACAAGGCAAGTAACAAAGCTTACCGATGACGCGAAATTTAATGTAGCATGAACATTTTCTGTGACTTTAAATTCCGTTGATGTCGCAATTTCTTCAACCATATCTGGCGAATCAACTGTCTGTGTTTACAAAATACCATAACTGTTTCATTTGAGTGGTCCTAACGATTATATTTCCTTCTTGCAGATGCCTGCGGGCTATCAGACGTGCCACACATAGAGAGTCTACAAGAGAAGTCTCAGTGTGCACTTGAAGAGTACTGTCGGAGTCAGTACCCGAACCAACCCACGCGCTTTGGTAAGCTGCTCCTGCGGCTACCATCGTTACGGACGGTCAGTTCACAAGTGATAGAACAGCTGTTCTTCGTCCGGCTCGTAGGGAAGACTCCCATCGAGACCCTGATTAGGGACATGCTCCTCTCCGGTAGCTCTTTCTCGTGGCCGTACATGGCGACCATGTGACATACGATGTGGAGACAGCTGGCGGCGGCCTGATCGACGCCTTACGGCTTCCCGCCGTACCTGCCGAGCCAGCGCTTCGACCCGTTCCAGAGGTACCAGAGAGAGGCAGAGGACGCGGTGACGTCATCCAGCGAGTTCCACGAGAGCACTGAGAACGCGACCGCTTCTGAGGAGTACTTCGGGTCGAGGACCAGCAGAGACAGCGAGAGAGCCGACCCTTGCCCGACCTTCGATCCCATTTCGGCGTTCTACGCGCCGAAGACGACCGAACCAGAATCTTTTGAGGCGCCCCCGACCTCAGCGGGCACGGACAAGACCGGGAAGACTTCCATGACGATCGACAACCTCCTGAACATCCGGAGCCAGGAACCATGCGTGGTGCCAGACATGAAATAAGACGATTAGTGCATAAGTGGGGTCAGTAGTGTCTATTAGTTCAAGTTTTCCTTTGTTCCTCTGTAAAAATATAGGCTAGATTTAATATTTAATACTGTAAATAAAAGTTTTTATTATTGTAAATGTATAGTTAATGTGATAAGGTATGAGAGAACTGTTTTCTACAATTGTGGACGCTCTTACACAATGTTTCTGTGTCCAGACTACGTGTTTCCAAAGTGTTTGAACTCAGTGTTTTTTTATTTAAACTGTTATCTTTAGGTATCAATCTTGGATTGATGAAGCGCAATAAATTGTACATTGGACGTGCAATGTTGGTGTGAATTGTGTAGTTATGTATGTATAGAGATAAATATTTAATAAGGGTTTACATGCCCCAGATTTTCAAATATGCGTCCCTCTACTTATCTTTGTTTATGGAGAATTCGTTTTATTTGGAATAATAGAGACACAGACAGAAATTTTTAAATATAATTAAATTGAAAATTTGAAAATATACAATTGAATGCAATACAACACCACCTATCATCGTTAAAGTGAAGTAATAAAAATAGTTTCAATTCATTTGTCCCAATTTGTAACGTAATTTTGTATAATTGTGAAATACTTGTTTGAATTTAGTTAAAATCTCGCGTATATTTAAAAGTTTTCTCAAAACTGGTGCTCTTTCACTTAATATGTTAGTGAATATCGTCTTACAAGAAATTACAATTAGGTTTACTCATATTGTTTTTATTTATATCGTAAATAATAAAATTCCTTGGAAGCATTTATCTATTTTATTTACAAAATTATCTTGTATAGAAATAATTTGTAACAAACAATAACTCTAAAATTATATTCTAATTTAACCTTTTTTTATGTAATATTAAAGTTATTGTTTTATACTTGAGCATTTTACCAAATTGTCAAATAGATTGGTTAAGTCAGTGGACTTTCTATAAAATATTGTAAACAAAGATTTTTTATATTGTTCACGTATGAACAAAACAAAGTTTGTGAGAATACAAAGATTGTGTGTTATAAAAGATTTATTTTATGTATACTATCGTACAAAGTAATATTGACAAATTAAACAATATTTCGTGTCAATTAGAAATTAATGACTCTAGCAACACCGTAGTCGTTTTATTAAAAAAAGATTATTAAATTGTTTAGACGTTTTTCAACACACTTGCAAGAAAAAAGGCACTGGCATGCTTACAATAATTTTGTAAAAAATGGTAACCACAAATAAGGTTATGAGTTCTTTTTTTTCTCGCAAGTGTGTGGAAAAAATAAAAATTTGTTCAATCATACTGGCCATTAAGAAGAAAATAATTATGTTTTATTTAAAAAAAAGTTCTAAAAATGTAAATACAGTTTCTTTTTTTTTTCATTTCTAAAAAGGTTTTAATTTTTAATGTTTTTCTCTAAGTGTTCATCAAAAACATTATTTTTCTGTACTTTTCTTTTTCTTTACTTGCCAAATGTATGGACTGGTGTAATGCAAAGAGATGCAGTGTATTTATTCGCAATAATGTACAGTGGGTTGTATTATACGTCGTGTGTATGAGATGTATGGACGTATTGAGGAATTAAAATGTCTCTATGGATTTAATTTAGATGTTTTATTTGAACCAGTAAAGCTTATATTTTTAAAAAACATCATGTAGAGTCTCAAAGTAACTTGATAACAATACATACCTAAACTTATTTTTTTTTTTTTTTACCTTTCTGGTAAAGGCGGCCACCTGACCTAAGCTAGAAGTTCGCCTACTGGTTTACTTTGCCAGAGATTGCGGGTTCGAACCCCGCGCACATAGATTAGGACACAACTTCTAGAGATCGTCGGTCCTTCGAGCTGGGTGTTCTCCACTACGAACCGAGACGTAGACTCCAATCCAGGAACCCGGTCGCTCTGCAAGATAAAAAATAAAATTTTAAAAAATATGTACGCGAAATTACTTATTCTAAAATAGGGTAGGTAATAATATACTTTAGACCCGATTCGGTTGAGGGCACAAGAGCACGCGGCAGGTCGCCCATGCGCTGGACTGACCAGATAAACACCGCACTCAATGGTCCACTACACGAGTGCACAAGAAAGGCTGCAGTGCGGGAGGAATGGCGACGGATTGTGAGGCTTGCCACCGGACCTGGTGTGACGACCACGACCACTCTGGCAAGAGTGTAGCGACGAAGAAGAAGAAGAGACCCGATTCGACCAAACTTTTATCCGAGAATAACTCCTAGTATAACTGGTAATAACTGGCACATTGACAGTTTCAGTATGGGAAATATGTCAGAACTGACGATTTTGAGATTAATATTTGCTCTTGTTTGGTCGAATCCACCCTTAGTTGTGATGATAATGATGATGACTCTTCAGATGCCTTGCATATCAAACAGAAACACTGAAGATCCTAATTTAATTGTATAAGGTGTTTTACTACTCAACCATCAACAACATCAGACTGGTCATTTTTGTCACAAAATCGCCCCTATCACATCCACATAAGGTACATGCTTACTTACGTGCCGTTACCATGAATTCCATTGCGTGCGACAGGAGTCACCTGTATTGCGCACGCGATCCGTGATTTGGAGTCCCAACTGCCCACGCGTGGGAACGGAGGAACAGGCCAATTAATAGCCGGATATATTGGCTTTTAATTGCGGTGTGAGTCAGGTTCGATCTGATTTGTTTAGTCATGTTATTGATAATTTTAGAATTAAAGGGTTCTTTATAATGAGGTTTTACAAAATCATTGCTTTTGTTCTGTATGTACAAACTAGTTCGTGCCAATAGATAGGTACTGGAATTTTCCCTAATATAATTGTAACCGAGCTGTTTATATCCAGTGATTTGGTGAGTAATAAACCTATCTTTGATTACATAATTATAGTAATGTAATTAACTGGTAATTTTAGTAAAAAAATTGCCAGTTTTTTGTGGCGCAAACTAGCTTAATTTATAAATAATTAACAGAAGATCTGTCTGTCACGTCATATTATTATGTTATTATAATATCACCTTTAACCGTACCGCTCCCATAATAGGCTAGTTTCCTAAAGATTTTTTTTAGACCGTCATGTTTATAATCGAAAAATATTGGACTCGTATATTTTTATTTGTCAATCAAACAAATAATTACAAAGTTATGGTGCGTTGAAGTTCCGCGCGACGTCACAAAGTGCTGCACTTTTAAGCACTCATTGACGTCACGGGCCTCTTCTTTTGAACTTTGGCGCGCTTTATCTCTTTAAATTTTCATTAGTTTGAAAAAGTGAAAAATACGTGTAGAGTATTTTTTGATAAGTTAACTGACGGACTAATTAAAACTCTTGCTTTTTGACCCAGGAAACATCCCTATTCAGGCACTGACTGCGCTAGACCATAGCATAACATTTTCCCACTACGACCGCGGACAGATGTGCAAAACAATGACAATCAAAGTCAATCACGACTCATTACGGCCCCGGAAGCGGTTGGCCACACCTGCCAGGGTTGCCAGTGCCGGAATTCAATCACGTCACACTAGGGTTCCCACGATTACCCCGTTTAGGGAAATTAATTGGTGTGGGTGATTATGCTGATTGTGTGGTAATGGTAGAATAAATAGTTTAGTTTTATGAGCATAACTGTTCTATTATGAATTGTCAATTGCCAATAAATTAATGGTGTAAATCTCATCTGTGAGATGTGTAAATTTTTTTGTCGTCTGATACAATATAGCCCAACTTTCCAAAAAGACTCCTATACTAATTGTTTTGCTGGTGGGCTTAAAAGTAAAAAAAAAAACTTTAGCCGTCGGTAGGTGATGTATATCCCAAAGCTTACCTATCTATCTTAAAATTAAGATTGAAATTTTAGGTAGGTAAGTATTTTAAAATTAAAAATTATTTTTAAGAACTAGCTATGGGCCACAGTTTCAGCTACCCATTTTCGGTCATGTCATCTCGTTCTATTTCAAAGAATCACCATTAGAGGAGAGAGAGAGAGAGAGAGAAAATGGAAATGGGTAGCTGGAACTGTGGCCCCACTGTACTTGAAAAAAAAAATTATTTAGATGCAGATTTAAGTCGTTTAACAGTGATATGTAATAGGTAACGGCTGTGTATCCAAAAAATCCAAAATAACCAACCATTCAATCTACCACGTTAACAAGCAGCCGTTGCTGCCCTCTTGCACTGATTCGCACCATCTGCCCCAATCAACGTTGACAGTTCGATATTTAAATATTTACGAATTTGGAACATTCGAGTACAAAGGAGGCACCACGCGTGACCAGCCTGACCTGCCTCACTGACTGCCGAACTGTTGACCACACCTGCACCAGCTGTGTCCTGTTTGCGACGCTTTGGCATTTGGAACTGGTTTGTTTTTAATGCAGATTCGATAATTCACGGACCGGATTTACCGAGTTTGAGACCGCTAGACGTTAATGTCTCTGTCAAGTGCATGAAATGTAGTTGAAAGTTTCGAGACCTGCGTTAATTCTAGGCCAGAGTGTATGAAATTCATAGTTGATACCTAATTTAAAAGATTACTTTGAGGAATTAGATTTTAATGAGACATTGAGAGACTAGTTAGTAGTAATTAGCCAAGTGATTCAAATCCATGTCAAAAGACCTTTGATATTTTAAGTAAATATGTGGCAGACAGTCTGTAAACTAGCAAAGATGTTCGATTAATTTCGATAAATCCCTATTACAATTGAACCGATTGCGTTCGTTCGTTTCAGCCAAATGACGTACACTGGTGGACAAAGGCCTCCCCAAGGATTTCCACAATAAGCGGTTCTGCGCTGCCCGCATCCAGGACTATTAATTTCGATAAATCCCTATTACAATTGAACCAACTGCGTTACCTCAAGCGAATCGGCCACTGCAACACTGTACCTACTGATAACGCATTGTAATTTTGTAATCACAATTAGCATTAGCCTACGTCTTCATCCTCATTCTATCCTTTTCAGGTGTTTCAGGATAGGCGGGGGGCGGGGCCGGGTCGCCCAATGGGGTCGGAGGTCACGAGGTTGCGACCCGCGAGCTCGATTGATTCGCGCCTAAAGTTCACCGCCCCTGGCTTCACTCACTGAAACGCAATGTATAGTATACAGTGTATACCGATATCCTTGGGCGTGCCACTGAGATGCTGCCAGTCATTGGTGGAGGCTAATCGGTTTGTGTGTACTTTGTAATCGTTGTAATGTAAAATTACAATAGTTGTTTTTGTTGAATTTTTTTTTAGCCACTGTGGAAATGGTACCTAAGTACTTATAAACTGTGATGCTCATAGAAAGTGAAATTGCCAAAATTAAAAGCAATTTTTTTTCAGTAACCGCGAGCAATTGAATACAAATTACGTAACTCTTCAATAACAATGAAGGAATTTAGTTATCAAGATCTCAAATCAAAGACTAGATAGAGCTCGTAACTTATGAGACGAAGCTCAAAACTCGACTCAAACTCAAGCATAGATTGCGGCTTTTGCTGTTTGAATTTCA